CGGGTTAGCCTCCTTCAGGTTCCTCCCGCCCGTAGGAAGAGAGTTTAACCGAACAGTCGGTTCAGACTTGAACAACTGACGATATTCAGTCACCCCCCCCACGAGGGTGTCATGTGGCACAAGGCCTTTTTAACGTGGGCAATTCCCAAGCCATTAGGCTCGGCCAAAAAATAGCCCATTTGAACCAGTATAAACGGGTTCAGGGCCGGTTTTACCTCCCCAAAGGAGACTCCGCCCTTCGGCGTAGCCTCCTTCGGGTTCCTCCCGCCCGTAGGAAGAGAGTTAAACCGAGCAGTCGGTCGACCGAGATCGACTTGGACTACTGACTCCTTGCCTACTCCTGAGGCACAGTATTTATTAAGTATGGAATAGTCCATTATTATTATTATTATGGGTAAGATCCCATAACATGTAATTATGTACAGAAGGCTAGGATGGGATTTAAATTCAGTTTTCTTCTACTTTTCATTTTTTTAAAAATCAAGTTCACCACAAGCAAGTCAGTAAAGCAAGGGGTTACTGGGTGTAGAAGGGGATAAAAACAGGCACAGGAGTGAGAAGAGAGGAAGAGTAATTAGGAGGACAGCAGATAGCGATTGACACGAAATTTAAATTTTTGCAGATTAAAGTTGGCTGGAAAGCATAGAACCAGAAGGGAGTTCCACAAGCAAGAAGTGTGAGAAAAGAAACTGTTAGCATAGAAATTACAGCTACATCTAGCCAGTTCAACTGTAAATTGGTGAAACCTAATCACCCATCTAGTGCTATACTTAAATTCGAAGAATCTAGGCACCATAGCAAAAAACTCATCCAAACAATTACCATGAAAGTATTCATAGAAAAGGCAAAGCAGGCAATCTTATCAGATCAGGGCCAATAATATTGCTGATTATTCTTTGGATTTTATCAAAGAACTGTAGATAGATATCAGGAACACTGAACCATCTGTGGCAGCAATATTCTCAGCATGGATAAATGGTAGATGTTTTGATATATAAGATAGACACTGGAGAGAAAAACCGTTTAGCAAGACACGGTGAACCAACCTTTTCCATGCCAGTAACCACTATGCTACCCTAGAAATGTTTTCAACAAACATATTTCTCTCAACAATGCCAGTCTGTTCTGTGTTTTTTTTTTCAGATGTTTTTGTTTTGTTTTGCAGTATAAACCAGGAAGTGATATCCAATACAGACATACTGGCTGATTCATCGCAACACAATGACACAGTTAAAAGCTATACAACATATATGTTGCACACTTTATATTTGAGCTATTTTATTACAAACAATTGAATGGTGTCAGGTTCATGCATTTCTCCAAGCAGAAAAAATTTAACAGAGTCCTTGCAGGATGATTTCCTAATCACTACAATCTTGACCTCTTCATGTCTAAGGTTAACAAGTTATATTTTCTTTTCTTATTCCTATAGTAAGAAGTGAGTTCCATCCAGACAGCTACTTCCCAAGAAGTGCTGCTTTGTGGAACAGACTCCTGGTAGGATGTTTTCCCAATCACTACAATCTTGACCTTTCATGTCTAAGGTTAACAAGTTATATTTTCTTTTCTTATTCCTATAGTAAGAAGTGAGTTCCATCCAGACAGCTACTTCCCAATAACTGCTGCTTTGTGGAACAGACTGCTGGCAGGATGTTTTCCCAATCACTACAATCTTGACCTCTTCAAGTCAAAGGTTAGGGTTAACCCTAAACATTAACAGTTGTCTTTTCTGCTTAGTGCCATGAACTTCAATTCTTTCCTTTTCCTATGCTCATACAACACCTTCTATAATAACCCTCTATCTTGAGTAGCTCTTGAGCCTTATGTTGAGTGAACAATAGTATAAAAAATTAAATCTAATTGTACTATACAGATAATTTTACAACTTATATTTGATCTATTTTATTGCAAATAATTGAATGGTGGGAAGTATTAATCATTTTTATTCTGGTTCTTTTCCAACAATTCCCAAATTTGTATCACTGAGGTGATTCATTTTTTTTAAAAATTGAGTTTTTTCCATTAAAATATCAATAATAGATTCCAATAAAGGAAATTACTCTGTACGTGTGTTCGTAACAGTTGTGCAATGATTAAATTTGTTCAAGCACTTTATTATATGATTAAGTATGGCTTCCTTGGCTTAAAGGTCAGTTCTACCCTCAAAACACTCTGGCAACAGGCCTAAATATTTTAAAAGAATAATAATAATGTTAATATCAGCCATTTCCCTATAAGGAAACTTTCAGCATCCATTGACCGAGTAGCCAGAACTGCTTTCAGTTGGTGTTTATGACATCAGTCTCTTAAAACAATTTTTCAGGAAAATAGGGTTTTCAAATCCAGTTGTTGTCATTTCTCTTTCCATTAAGAATGGAAGTTTCCTTCCTAACTTTTTATTTCAAGTAGTGTAGAATGCCAATACATTGATTAGCTTTAAATTTTACTGCTATTAATAATGACATTTCATTTTAACAGATATATTTACCAAAATTCCACAAAAATATCTTGAAATATTAAAGAGTAAATACAGTGTAAACCGGATATAAGAGAAACCCGGATATAAGAGAGATTTTATCTGGTCCCAAATTAGAGCCTGTGTTAATGTATATAAAATAGACCAAACCCGGATATAAGAGACTTCTTCTCCGGTCCCGATAACTCTTTATATCCGGGTTACACTGTAAAAATCCTTTCAATGCATTTTCTTAGTACAGTGTGACCCGGATATAAGAGAAACCCGGATATAAGAGAGATTTTCTCTGGTCCCAAATTAGAGCCTGTGTTAATGTATATAAAATAGACCAAACCCGGATATAAGAGAAACCCGGATATAAGAGACTTCTTCTCAGTCCTGACAACTCTCTTATATCCGGGTTACACTGTAAAATCCCTTTCCAATGCATTTTCTTAGTACAGTGTGACCCGGATATAAGAGAAACCCGGATATAAGAGAGATTTTCTCTGGTCCCAAATTAGAGCCTGTGTTAATGTATATAAAATAGACCAAACCCGGATATAAGAGAAACCCGGATATAAGAGACTTCTTCTCCAGTCCTGACAACTCTCTTATATCCGGGTTACACTGTAAAATCCCTTTCCAATGCATTTTCTTAGTACAGTGTGACCCGGATATAAGAGAAACCCGGATATAAGAGATTTTCTCTGGTCCCAAATTAGAGCCTGTGTTAATGTATATAAAAATAGACCAAACCCGGATATAAGAGAAACCTGGATATAAGAGACTTCTTCTCCAGTCCTGACAACTCTTATATCCGGGTTACACTATAAAAATCCCTTTCCAATGCATTTTCTTAGTACAGTGTGACCCGGATATAAGAGAAACCCGGATATAAGAGAGATTTTCTCTGGTCCCAAATTAGAGCCTGTGTTAATGTATATAAAATAGACCAAACCCGGATATAAGAGAAACCCGGATATAAGAGACTTCTTCTCCAGTCTGACAACTCTCTTATATCCGGGTTACACTGTAAAATCCCTTTCCAATGCATTTTCTTAGTACAGTGTGACCCGGATATAAGAAAAACCGGATATAAGAGAGATTTTCTCTGGTCCCAAATTAGAGCCTGTGTTAATGTATATAAAATAGACCAAACCCGGATATAAGAGAAACCCGGATATAAGAGACTTCTTCTCCAGTCCTGACAACTCTCTTATATCCGGGTTACACTGTATATTCAATAAAACTTCGGAATCTCTTGCAACTCTTGTGGACGATCTTCTTGTTTAAGTTGGTGAATGCTGCCATAATCCTTACCTTCAGTTCATCTTTGAGTTTTGTTGGTCTCTCACTCAGCTGCACCCCATACATAACAGTCCATTTTTTTTAATTCTCCAATGTGTCATTACCATAATTTGTTCAGTTATTTTAATTAATATTTGAACCCATGTTGGTTTTATAAACACTTTAAATACATCAATGTATCGCTCAGTTATAAAAGATTTAGTCAAGAGGAGATAAGAAAATTGAACATTGAACAGACTGTGTTAGGGATAATGGTAATGTTAGCCATTTTCTTATAAGGAAACATTTGGCATTCATTGACCAAGCAGCCAGTACTGATTTTTGGGCAAAATTGATGAGATCTTTCTCTTAAAAGAATTTTTCAGGAAAATAGGTTTTTCAAATCCAGTAGCTGTTGTCTCTCTTTATATTATGAATGGGAGTTTCCTTCCTAACCTTTTATTTCAAGTAGTGTAGAATGTCAATACATTGACTGGCTTTGAATTTTCTTCTAGTGAAGATTCTTAAGGCAGTTAATTAAGTGCCACATGGACTTCATAAAAAAATTGTTAAAAACTCATTTTAAATGATTATGATCCTAACTGTGGTCCTGACATGACATCTTGCCTTCACTCACTTTCACACCACCACAATGTTGCTTTCCTGTGCTTTTTCGATAATTATTTCCATGGTAATTGTTCTGATGAATCTTCCTTTATGCTACTTAGGCATGAAGAATTAAAGCATTGGCAACAAAGTCTCTTTATTTAACAGTTGAAATGTCTAGTTATGCTAATGCTAACAGTTTATTTTCTCGCACTTCTCATTTGTGGAACTCTCTTCTGGTTTCTTGCTTTCCAGTCAACTTTGATCTAAAAAAATTAAAATGCAATGTCAGTCGTTATCTACTGTCTTCTTGATTCCTTTTCTTTTATTGTTATCTCTCCTTAATAATGTTTTTCCTTATCTTATTCTTTCACATTCAGTAACACCTTGTGTCTTAGTGGCTTTATTGCCTTGGTTGGGATTAAATGAATGAAAAAAAATTTTAAATGCCAACAATTCCCAAATTTGTATCACCAAGTTTATTTTGTTTTTAATAATTTGATTAGTTCTTGATTAGTCACCATTAGAATATCAGTAACAGATTCCAATGATGGAAATTGCTGTGTACATGCATATAGAAATTTTATGCAATGATTAAATTTATTTCAATCTCATTAATATTTTATTAAGTATTTTTAGACCCTTCACCATGATGGGCCTGGTTCCTCCATTAAAAATCGCTTACCATCCCTGCCTGCCACCCTCAAAATCATGTAAACTAATCTTAGTCTGTAAATTCTTGCTTGCAGCCTCCCTGTCTTTAAAAGATCAGCTGACCCTCAAAAAATATTTGGCAATGGGCCTGGGTATTTTTAAAGAATAATGACATTGAGTTTTCATTCTATCAGATTAATAGTTGCATCTTGATTAAATTTGTTTCAGTTTTTTATTATTTTATTTAGTAGTTTTGGGATGATTACCGAGGTGGGGCAATCTCCCCACCAGCTATGGGTTAAATAGTAGAACTTGTATCTAGAAAACTCATTGTTATTGTCAAAAAACTGTCAATGCAATATACACTTGTAAGAAAAGAATTGCCCTTGCAACCTAAAATAGGTTTCAGCTTTAAATAACCCACAAGGGTTGATAAGCCATAAAAAAAGTCCATCTTTCATCATGGTGGGATTCTGCTCTTTCCTCAAAAATTCGTTTGCCTTATCTGCCCACCCAAAAATATGATGTAAATTCATTTTCATATTCTAATTTTTAATTGAAGACCCCCCACCCCAGACTTAAAGGTCATCTTCTCTCAATGAAAACCTTTTGGTGATGGTCCATAATATTTTTAACGAACAATCACATTGAGTTTTGATTCTATAGAGATTTCAAGGATGATATTTCCTAAACTATAGTTGTCATATTTACCTTTGCATAAGACACATTTTCTTTATTTTTAAATGTACCAAAAAACTGCCCTGTGCCTGTTGTATTATGGATGGGAGAATGTTATACTGGGAGGTCAGGGTGCCAATTGAGCCTCGGCATAAAAATTGTTACTGGTAATAAAATATTGAAAACAAGTTATTACAGTAAATTATGTTACTAATAATAAACTATGTATGGTAGTCAGTACTGTTTGCTGAAATACCAGTTTCTGATAAAAGGTGTTCACTTATTTCCCTGTTGCTTGTTGTATACTAATAGTAATATTCAGTGAAATATTTTGATTTGTCTGTATTTACTGGAATTATCTATAAGAATTTATTCACATTTTTTGTACTTTACTGATTACATTTTCTACATTTAGCTTATTTGATTTTCAGTAAGTGCCAAAGACACTTTGCTTTTGGTATATTGACCTGAAGATAGCTGCAGAGATGAAGGTTGTGACATAACACTATTATGAGATAATGACAGTGGTTGCCAAATATTCTTTCAAGTGACATACTGAACTATTTACCAATTAGATTTGTATAAGTACTATATCCACTGCAGCCATATCAGCCAGTACATGTGTCTTGAGCAAGATAGCCTGACAGAAGCAATCCCTTTTCATGTTGGTTTTGAATTCAGAGAATCTATTCTCATCCAATCACCAAAGTTAGGCAACATTAAATGGTTGACCACTTGGGAATACCTGTTGCTATAAGCCTGGATAACACCTTGGAATGAGAAATCGATGAGTTTGAATTCTGATCAGATTCATTACCTTCACTTATGTACAAATATCTTTGGGAAAGGTATGAATCCATCTCTGTGCCCCTAACTATAGGTTAAATAGTAGAACATTATCATTATTATATTGAAAAAAATTGTTAATATAATATTCACTTGTAAAAAAAAAAGAAGTATTCTTACAATCCTCAAAAATGGTTTGGTTGTAAATAACCTATAAAATCTTGATGAGTTGTAAAAAATAAATCAATTAATTGAATTCAGTGTTGCCATAGACTGGTTTCCACCCTAAGCTAGAGAATGGGGTCTTCCCTGCCAAGAGACAAGAAGAGAAAGTTTCATGCCTTTTCTCAAGTGTATTTGTGCAAAAGCTAATGCAAAAAGCTAGCTCAGAATTTGAATTTAATCAATTCTAATTTTGTGCTGATAACTGCTGCACTACCATATCTGGGGTAGGAAGAGGTGGGTTCATGCCTTTCCCAAGAGTATTTGTGTATAAGTGAATATAATAAACCCAACAGGAATTGGAACTCGGCTCTCCGATTAACAATTCTGAACCATTATTCATTACACCACTTGCACATCAAAGCTTACAACATATAGTATTCCCAAGTGGTCACCCATCTAGGTACTGACCTGGCTCAACATTGCTTAACTGCGGTGCTCATACAGGAATGAACATTTCAACCTGGTGTGGCTCTAAACTCCTTTTTTATTTAAAATTCAAAGTAACTTCTTACATCGATTTTGTGATATCAATGAACACTTATTGCCACTTTCGTAATGCTCGTTGTAGTAGAGACTTTGTAATTGTAAATACAACTATAGGAATGCCGTTGAACAATATCGGTGTCAGATGCCTTCAGATAACACTCGTACTAATAGTGCTTGCTTGATAATACTTGCTCAAATAGTAATCCATATAATGATCTAAATAGTTATTCATATAGTGATCACTTAGACGCTATGATAATTCCTATATACATTTCCTTTACCATCACGTGATCTACTTATTCGAAATGGGATCACCTGTGTTTGCTCTCTGGCGATCTGTGTTCAAACTCCAGTGTCAGCAACAACACTGTTCCTATATAACAGTTGACTTTCTTGAATTAATAATGAGAGAGGAAACACTCCCTTCCCATTCTGTTTTTTATATTTCAATGTGCACTCAGATTTAGAAATTAATCTAAATTTATACTCTCCTCCCCAAAAACAAAATAATAAAATACAAATTACATGATATCGAAAATAATCATTTGTAAATGTGCCTGAAATCAACTTTACATTTTCTGAGGTTAAAATTGTGGAATAACTGACTGTATTTGATGAAATATATGACCTTCTCATTTACATGAAAAATAAAATGGCTTAATATAAATACAGGATGCGATGGGTAAATTGTCGCCACTTTATATGTTTAATTTTGTGCACACACATTGTTTTGATTTTGTTGACTGCATAGTATACTTGGGTCAGTGGTCACTGTCTTTGAGAAAAATATATAATGAGATGTTATATATATATAAAGAGATGTTTCTGTTTGGATAGAAAAGAGGCTTCAAATGTTACTCTATATAAAGAGATGTTTCTCTTTGGATAGAAAAGAGACTTCAAATGTTACTCTATATGAAGAGACGTTTCTGTTCAGATAAAGAGATTTCAAATATAACTCTATATAAACAGATGTTTTTGTTTCGATAGAGAAAAGTTTTCTAATATAAATAAAGGTGCGATGGGTAAATTGTCTCCATTTTATATGCTTAATTTTGTGCACACACATTATTTTTCATTTTGCTGACTGCATAGTATATTAGGGTCAGTTGGGCACCACCTGTGAGAAAAAGAGCACCATGATGCAATTTACACTGCCAGATATTTGGAAATGGCATGCTGTACTGCTTGACATTAATGCTGGAATATCCAAAACAAACATTTCAGAGTCTTTGGGTGTCAATCTGAAGACAGTGCAGAGGATTCAGAAAGAATTGAATGAGTCTAATGGTGTTTACGAAGGTACAGTAGATTGGAAAACTGACTCTAATCGTTCTGATAAGATAAGAACTTCTGAATTTGCTGGTGAGGTTCTCAGGCTCTACATAGAGTCCTACATCAAGAGATTTGCGGAGATAGTGCTGCCCTGGGTTAAGAGAGTGCCTACTGGAAGATCATGTGTCTGGCATCAGGACTCTGCACCATGCCACACAAGCAGGAGAACCCAGTTATGGCTGTCAGACAATTTCTGTGACCACATCACTCTTAACATCTGGCCACCTAACACCCCAGACTGCAACCCTCTTGATTATGTGTGGGGTGAAGTTGAGTAAGAGACCAACAAAATTCCTTGTAACACCAAAGACGAACTGAAGCCAAGAATTATGACAGCATTCACTAACTTAAACAAGGAGATAGTCCAGAAGAATTGTAGGAAATTCCAAATTCATGTAGAGGACATGGGTAAAGCCAATGGCGATTTTATTGAATAAATTTACACTATCGTATTTCAAGATATTTTGGTGTAGTTTTAGTAAATATACCTGTTAAAATGAGACGTCAGTGTCATTTTCATTTTTATGTAATTTAGATGACAATTTATCCATCGCACCCTGTATATTATATGGTTATGCATGTGTGTGTGTGCATAGGTGTATATGATGGGGTACATATAAATATATATATGTGTACAAGTTCTGTCTACATTTCTGAGATTAGATATTTTAACTATTTACACTATTTACATTGTTTGGACTGTTGTACTTATCCTTATCGTCATATTCACAATGTTTCGACCATTATAGGCCCAAAAGACACATAGCCCAGTAGACTAGATTCAGTTAAAAATTCTACTGCATATCATCTGAAGAAGGCCGAAGCATACAAAAGACGAAACATCATGAATATGGCAATAAAGATGTGGACAACAGTCCAAACAGTGTAAGTAGCATGTACAAGTATATGTATAAGAAATAATTGTATGTATATATGTTAGCGTTATGACTGTTTTGTAACCTTAAGTTCTTGTGTGAGGAATCAATGAAATTTTGCTCAAAAGTAATGAAAAAGGCCTTCATCATTTTTTGTTCTTGTAAAAGGTCACCCCTAAACCAAAAATTCAATTTTATCATATCCGCAATAAAGGTTAAAAATAAAAATATTTCAGAAACTTTATTTTTCAATTTGCTAATGATGTAATTGAATAGTACTTATGTAATTTTAATGCATTTAACAGTTTATAGCTATAGCATAACATAAAAGTTTACAAATAAGCAAAAACAATTTCTATAACATTCCAGAAAAGTCATAATAATACTATACTTAGATCTGATTTTAGAAATTTCATGTTGGCTGTGATACTTTTAAAAAATAAACTAAATTAAACCCTTCTTATTTTTTAACAAAAGTTCAAATTCAGTCAGTTATCTGCCATGCGTGATACACGCATAGGTGATCATGTATCTTTCAATATGACTGATGAGGCAGATTTTTTTTTTTCCTGCAGTAGGTTGCCATTTCTTTCTATGGTAGACCAGTTGCCATCCAAGGCTATAGAACCTGGTCTGTCCTGCTATTTAACCTTAGCTGGGGGGAGAACAAGAGAAAAAAAATTATGGCATGAATAAATTTTCTTCAATTATTATTGCTGTACATTAAGGTTATGACTTTTTTGTGACCCTATGTCTCCATGTGATAAAACAATGAACTTTTGTTCAAAAGTAATCAAAAAGGCATTAATTTGTTTTTGTTCTTGAAAAAGATGACCCACTAAACTAAAAATTTTATTTCACCATATACACAATAAGGGTAAAATATTTTTGTGACTCAAACGAATACTTGTTGTCACTTTTGTAGTGTTCATTGAGGTAGAGACTTTGTAATCGTAGATACAATTATAGCATGCTATTGAACAATACTGGTGTTAAATGCCTTTGAACGACACTTACACTAATAGTACTTGCTCAATAATATTTGATCGAATATTAACCCGTGTAGTGATCCAAATAGAGAAATAGTATAGTGAATAGAGTAGAGAATAGCAGTCCATATAGTCATAGAGGATAAAATAGAAATAGTGATCTGTATAGTAATAGAGGATAGAATAGAAATGGTGATCTGTATAGCAATAGAGGAGAGAATAGAAATGGTGATCTGTATAGTAATCATACTTATTATAAACCCCAGGTTGTGTGTGTGTGTGTGTCTGTACGTTTATATATTGGATCGGATTTCCTACATTTTTCAACCAATTTCAACAAAACTTCACAGGACTACATAAAATTACCATGCGGTGGTTCTGACAGTGCCAAAAATCGGAAAAACACAATTATTTTTGCACAAAATCAATTTGAAAACATGATTAAGAGGCATCGCGAAAATGAAAGGGGGACAACTCATATCAAGTTATACTTATTATAAAACCCAGGTTGTTTGTGTGTGTGTGTGTGTGTGTGTGTTCCTTTATATATGGGATTGGATTTCCTACATTTTTCTACCGATTTCAACAAAACTTCACTTTTTTTTTGGCAGGTAGTGTTTCTTATTGTCTTGCACACTTTTTTCTTTATTTTTACATTTAGAATGCTTTAAAAATTCCATTTACAAGACAATTGTTTATAATAAATTTCTATTCAATGGGTAGGCTCATAACGATTGAAAACAATGTTTTTGTTTGAGTTTGGGTTTGACCAATTCGTAAAAAAAACAAAAAAACGAATTAAGACATGCGTGTCCGTCAACCTTAAACAATAACCTTTGTCAATTTTATTTTTCAGTCTTTATGATGGTCAATACTTGATCTATCTCTTACTATTACATCCCCGGGCAACGCTGGGCTCTACTGCTAGTAGAGGATAAAATAGAAATGTGATTAATTAGGCACACGCTACCTCCCATATATGTGTTTCCTCTATGGTCATATGGTCTACTTAATTCAATAATAGGATCACCTGTGTTTGCTCACTGGTAATCTATTTTCAAACTTAAGTGTCGACAGTAACATTTTATTCCTATATAACAAATATAAAAATATTTTAGAAGCTTCATTTTTCAATTTGCTGATGATGTCATACTTATGTATTTTATAGCACATTTAACAGTTTATAGTTATAGCATAACATTTTTCTCGCCAGAATCAATCCTTCAAATCTACAAATCAACCATTCAACCTTGTATGGAGTATTGCCGCTATATAGGGTCTGGAGCCCCTTCTAGTTGTCTCAAGGTCCTTGATAAAATCCAAAGATGGATATGCAATGTAATTGGCCCTGATCTGGCATCTCATCTGCAGCTGCTCTCTCACAGACATGCCGTTGCTTCCCTCTGTCTTTTTTACAAATACTTTCACAGTAACTATTCCCATGAGCTGCTTTCGCTGGTTCCCGAACTTCGTGAATTTAGGCGTTCAACTAGGCTGGCATCTCGCTCTCACCCTTTCGATGTTGGAACTGTTAAGTGCAGCCATCTCTTCTACTCCAATAGCTTCATGTCTTGCACTTCTCGCCTGTGGAACTGCCTCCCTATTTCTTGTTTTCCTGTAGCTATAATCTCCAACTATTTAAATGTAACGTCAATCGACATTTCCAGATGCCCTGATCTGTCCCTTAACCGTCTCTGCATCCTTTCCTTTATCACTTCTCTTTGCTCTAGCTCAAATTCTCTGTAATCCCTTGCGTGCTAGTGGCTTCCCGCCTTGCTTGGGGTTGAATGTATAAACATACAACCTTACAAATTTTATTTTTTACTGTATTTAACAATTTATAATGATAGCATTACATACAAATAAACAAAAACAAGTTCTGTTTCAGAAAGTTCTAGAAGGCTCCAGAACATCATAGTACTACTATCCTCATATATGATCTTAGCAATTTCGTGTTGGGGGTGACATTTTAAAAAAAAAATAAACTGAATTAAACCCTCCAAATTAGATTGGCAAGTAGGTCTCATTTTTACAGTTGAAATAGCTAGAGCTAACCGTAAGTTCTAATAGTTTTAATGTTTTTTTTCTCGCACTTCTTGCCTGTGGAATTCCCTTCTGATTTCTTGTTTCCCTGCTACCTTTGATCTTCAAATATTTAAATGCAATGTCAATGCCATCTTCTATCTTAATTCCTGTTCTTTTAGTGTCCTTTCCTTTCACTAATGTCTTCTCATTTTCTTTTACTCTTAGTAACCCATTGTGTCTTAGTGGCTTTATTGCCATTCTTGGGGATGAAATGTTTAAAAAAAAACCTTTTTCTCAATTTAGTTGCATTTAAAATCAATCATGGGGACAGGAAGTGTGTTTGGTAGCCATCTTTAAAATTAAAAAGTCTTTTTAATTTTGAAAATTAACATTCTAAATCTTTGTTTTACAACCTCATATATAGGTAAATGCACAGCTGTTTTTGGTCAGTAAATAAATAACAGACTATCTCCAAACTCTGACTACAATTGAAGAGGGCACCCAGTGAGAGTGAAAACCATGACAGGCTTCAAGTGGAGTGCAATATAGTCATAGGAACTGTTACATTGAAGTATGAACCCAAACAATTTCTTGATATCGCTTAAATATATTGATTTCTTTCACAGTAGATAATTGAGAGTTGACTGGAAAATGTCAACCATTTACTTTCCAGAGACAGGGGAATTAGTTATATTCCCCCTAAGAGAGGTTAACTGCTGTTCAAACATCTAATTGAAAAGATCAAACAATGATTTTCAGATAGTCACAACAAAGGATAATGAATTTTATGTTATTGTCAAAGCTATCAATTTCAGTTTAATTAATTTGAGCTGAAAGCAATTATTGTCAACCAATTAAAAAATGTTTCCAATGCTATTATAGCTTGAGATGTTTCTGTCCAGATAGAGATGAGGTTTCAAGTCTTACACTATATAAAGAGATGTTTTTGTTTCAATAGAAAACAGGTTTCAAATGTTACACTATATAAAGAGATGTTTCTGTTCAGATAGAAAAGAGGCTTCAAATGTTACTCTATATAAAGAGATGTTTCTGTTTGGATAGAAAAGAGGCTTCAAATCTTACTCTATATAAACAGATGTTTCTGTTTAAATAGAAAACAGGTTTCAAATGTTACTCTATATAAAAAGAGGTTTCTGTTCAGATAGAGGTTTTAAAAATGTTACTCTATATAAAGAGATGTTGGGCACCTCAAGGCGTTGTAATGGTTAGTAAGTTTTTCTCTCTAGAACAATTATGACTGAGTAGTGAATTCAATCCTAACTGGGTGCCCCATACTTTCGGCCTTGTGCCACATCTAAGCTACACTTGCAAAATTGCCATAAAGAGATGTTTCTGTTCAGATAGAGAAGAGATTTCAAATATTAATTTATATAAAAAGATGTTTTTGTTTTGATCGAGAAAAAGTTTCTAATGTTACTCTATATAAAGTGATGTTTCTGTTTTGCTTGAAAACAGGTTTGGTGGAGTAATGGATAACAGCTTTTGATTGCAGAATCAGAAAGTTGAGTGCCATATTTTTCTCCCCACAGCTATGGGTAAATAGCAGGACAGATAGACTTGATTGGCAACCAGTCAAAGGGAAAGAAAACTCTGAATTCAAACAAACCTGGAGAGGGATGGGCTTTATCAGGCTGGTTTACCCAGGAAACTCCATGGCTGCTATGAATACAGTTGATATGGTGCCCTTATGATCCTTAGGGGTTACAGGATTTTCAATCATGACAGACATTTTAAATGCTACTATATGAAAAGAGATCTTTTTGTCCAGATGCTTCAAACATTATCATCTTTTTATCATCTTTTATGGTCTGGTGCAAGTGCTGTTCATCTCAGGGTTCTCGACAAAATCCAAGAGACGGGTATGCAACATGATCGGTCCTGACTTGGGGTCTTGACTCAAGTCACTTTCTCACAGATATAATGTGGCTTCTCTCTGTCTTTTCTATAAATATTTTCATGGCCTCTGCTCTGATGAGCTATTTTCACTGGTGCCTTGACTGCATAAATTTAAGCATGCTACTAGGTTGGCATCTCGATCCCACTCTTTTACTGTTGAAACAGTTAAATGTAACCACCTCTTCTAATCCAATAGCTTTTTCTCTTGCACTTCCTAACAGCGAAACTCCCTTCCTCTTACTTGCTTCCCTGATAACTATAATCTTCAAAAATTTAAATGTAATGTCAATCGACATCTTTTTGTTGCCTTGATCCCCATTCTTCTCTTTATCCTCCATCTTTCTTCTTTTTATCCTTTCCTCAATCCCTCCTATACTCAGTCTTTTCTCTCTCTTTCACTCTCTGTAACCCCTTGCATACTAGTGGCAATCCCATCTTGCTTGGGGTGAAATGATTAAAAAAAATTGTTGCTTTTGTAATTCCAACAATGTAACGAAACTTTACATCAGGCTCTCCATATTGGAGGAAATAACAGAACAGGATATTGTTTTGTTTTCATCAACACGAGTTCATGCCTTTAACCATTCTGGGTTTTGCCAAAGATTGACATCATTCCATTTATTGGTCATGTTATATACCATACCTATGAACACTAATTGCTATGTCCCAATCCTCATAAATACATTGGACACTATCGTAAGTGGGGGGTAATATGCTGTCCAAGTATTCCACCAATAGCAGTGGTTTACCTACTTCATGCTGGTAGCAAATATTATATTTTGTTGATGTTATAAAGATTACCATTTCATTTCCATTTTGGTTATTCTTCATTCAGTAACCCTTTCAAGGTTACAACATTTTATTTTGTCTGAATATCTCCCCATCCTTTCTTTCTTTCTTTCTTTCTTTCTTAATATCTCCCTCCTTTTCTTTTGTCTGAATATCTCCCCATCCTTTCTTTCTTTCTTTCTTTCTTTCTTAATATCTCCCTCCCTTCCTTTTGTCTGAATATCTCCCCATCCTTTCTTTATTTTTTTTTTTGAATATCTCCCCCTTTCTTTTGTCTGAATATCTCCCCCATCCTTTCTTTCTTTCTTAATATCTCCCTCCATTTCTTTTGTCTGAATATCTCCCCATCCTTTCTTTTCTTTCTTAATATCTCCCTCCCTTTCTTTTTGCCTGAATATCTCCCCATCTTTCTTTTTTTTTCTTTCTTAATATCTCCTCCTTTCTTTTGCCTGAATATCCTCCCCATCTTTTCTTAATATCTCCCTCCTTTCTTTTGTCTGAATATCTCCCCATCCTTTCTGTCTTTCTTTCTTAATATCTCCCCATCCCTTTTTCTTTCTTTTTTTTTTTTTGGCTGAATATCTCCCCTCTCTTTTCTTTCTTTTCTTTTTTTTCTTTGCTTTCTTTCTTTCTTTCTTAATATCCTCCTCTCCTTTCTTTTGTCTGAATATCCCTCCCCATCCTTTCTTTCTTTTCAATATCCCCTCCCTTTCTTTTTGCCTGAATATCTCCCCCATCCTTTTTCTTTCTTTCTTAATATCTCCCTCCTTTCTTTTTATATCTCCCCAATTTTCTTTCTTTCTTTCTTAATATCTCCCTCCCTTTTTTTTTCTTAATATCTCCCCTTCCTGAATATCTTTTTTTCTTTCTTTCTTAATATCTCCCTCCTTTCTTTTGCCTAGATATCTCCCTCCCTTTTTTCTTTCTTTCTTAATATCTCCCTCCCTTTCTTTTGTCTGAATATCTCCCCTGCCTTTCTTTCATTTCTTTCTTAATATCTCCCTCCTTTCTTTTGCCTGAATATCTCCCATCCTTTCTTTTTCTTTCTTAATATCTACTTTTTTCTGAATATCTCCATCCTTTCTTTTTTTTCTTAATATCTCCCTCCCTTTCTTTTTGCCTGAATATCTCCCCATCCTTTCTTTCTTTCTTAATATCTCCTCCTTTCTTTTGTCTGAATATCTCCCCATCAGCCTCTTTCTTTCTTAATATCTCCTCCTTTCTTTTGTCTGAATATCTCCTTTCTTTCTTCTTAATATCTCCTCCCTTTCTTTTGTCTATGAATATCTCCCCATCAAAAAATATCTCCTCCAAGTCTGAATATTCTCCCCGTCAAAATATCTCCCTCCCTTTCTTTTGTCTGAATATCTCCCCATGGGAGTCTGAATATCTCCCCACAAAAGTCTGAATAGCCCCATCCTCTTTCTTTTCTTGATATCTCCCTCCCTTTCTTTTGTCTGAATATCTCCCATCCTTTCTTTTCTTAAGAAAGTCTGAAAAGAATATCTCCCTGGGGAATATCTCCCCATCCTTTCTTTCTTTCTTAATATCCTCCCCTCCCTTTTCTTTTTCTGAAAAAGATCCTTTCTTTCTTTTTTCTTTTTCTTAATATCCTCCCTCCTTTCTTTTTGCCTGAATATCTCTCCCATCTTTTTTTCTTTCTTAAATATCTCCCTCCCTTTCTTTTTGTCTGAATATCTCCCCCATTCTTTCTTTTCTTTTTCTTTTTTTCTTTCTTAATATCTCCCTCCTTTCTTTTACCATATCTCCCCATCTTTTCTTTCTTTCTTAATATCTCCCTCCTTTCTTTTGTCTGGAAAACTCCTATCCTTTTTTTCTTTCTTAATATCTCCCTCCCCTTTCTTTTGTCTTAATATCTCCCCATCTTTTCTTTCTTTCTTAATATCCCCCTCCCTTTCTTTGAGATATTCCCTTTCTTTCTTTTTCTTTTCTTATGGATCTCCCTCCTTTCTTTTTAGGAGAAATAAAAAGAAAGGGTTTCTTTCAGATATTCTTTTGAAAGGACAAAAGAAAGGGAGGAGATATTAAAAAGAAAAGGATGGGGAGATATTCAGACAAAAGAAATGGAGGGAGATATTAAGAAAAAAGGGTGGGGGAGATATTCAGACAAAAGAAAGGAGGGAGATATTAAGAAAGAAAGAAAAAAGGATTCATATTCAGACAAAAGAAAAGGAGGGAGATATTAAGAAAGAAAGAAAGGATGGGGAGGATTCTTTCAGACAAAAGAAAGGAGGAGATATTAAGAAAGAAAGAAAGATGGGGAGATATTCAGACAAAGAAAGGGAGGGAGATAAGAAAGAAAGAAAGAAAGAAAGGATGGGGGAGATCTTCAGACAAAAGAAAGAATATCTCCCTCCTTTCTTAAAGAAAGGATCCCCCTATTCAGACAAAAGAAAGGGGAGGGAGATATTAAGAAAGAGAAAGAAAGGATGGGGAGATATTCAGACAAAAGAAAGGGAGGGAGATATTAAGAAAGAAAGAAAGGATGGGGAGATATTCAGAAAAAGAAAGGAGGGAGATATTAAGAAAAAAAAAAATGATGGGAGATATTTTTGAAAGGGAGGAGATATTAAGAAAGAAAGGATGGGGAGATATTCAGACAAAAAGGAAAGGAATGAAAGGATGGGAGATATTAAGAAAGAAAGAAAGGAATGGAGGAGATATTCAGACAAAAGAAAGGAGGGAGATATTAAGAAAGAAAAGAAAGGGATGGGGAGATATTCAGACAAAAGAAAGGGAGGGAGATATTAAGAAAGAAAAAAAGGATGGGAGATATTCAGACAAAAGAAAGGGAGGAGATATTAAGAAAGAAAAGAAAGGATGATGGGAGATATTCAGACAAAAGAAAGGGGGAGGGAGATATTAAGAAAGAAAAGAAAGGATGGGGAGATATTCAGACAAAAGAAAGGGAGGAGATATTAAGAAAGAAAAGAAAGGATGGGGAGATATTCAGACAAAAGAAAGGGAGGAGATATTAAGAAAGAAAGAAAGGGTGGGGAGATATTCAGACAAAAGAAAGGGAGGGAGATATTAAGAAAGAAAAAAAGGATGGGGAGATATTCAGACAAAAGAAAGGGAGGGATATTTAGAAAGAAAAGAAAGGATGGGGAGATATTCAGACAAAAGAAAGGGAGGGAGATATTAAGAAAGAAAGAAAGGATGGGGGAGATATTCAGACAAAAGAAAGGGAGGGAGATATTAAGAAAGAAAAGAAAGGATGGGGGAGATATTCAGACAAAAGAAAGGGAGGGAGATATTAAGAAAAAAAAGAAAGGATGGGGAGATATTCAGACAAAAAGAAAGGGAGGGAGATATTAAGAAAGAAAAGGATGGGGAGATATTCAGACAAAAGAAAGGGAGGGAGATATTAAGAAAGAAAAAAGGAGGATGGGAGATATTCAGACAAAAGAAAGGGAGGAGATATTAAGAAAGAAAGAAAGGATGGGGAGATATTCAGACAAAAGAAAGGGAGGGAGATATTAAGAAAGAAAAGAAAAGGATGGGGAGATATTCAGACAAAAGAAAGGGAGGGAGATATTAAGAAAGAAAGAAAGGATGGGGAGATATTCAGGCAAAAGAAAGGGAGGGAGATATTAAGAAAGAAAGAAAGGGATGGGGAGATATTCAGACAAAAGAAAGGGAGGGAGATATTAAGAAAGAAAGAAAAGGATGGGGAGATATTCAGACAAAAGAAAGGGAGGGAGATATTAAGAAAGAAAGAAAGGATGGGGAGATATTCAGACAAAAGAAAGGGAGGGAGATATTAAGAAAAGAAAAAGAAAGGAAGGATGGGAGATATTCAGACAAAAGAAAGGGAGGGAGATATTAAGAAAGAAAAGAAAGGATGGGGAGATATTCAGGCAAAAGAAAGGGAGGGAGATATTAAGAAAAAGAAAGAAAAAGAAATGGAGGGAGATATTCAGACAAAAGAAAGGGAGGAGATATTAAGAAAGAAAAGAAAGGATGGGGAGATATTCAGACAAAAGAAAGGGAGGGAGATATTAAGAAAGAAAGGATGGGAAATTCAGGAAAGGGATATTAAGAAATGGGGAGATATTCAGACAAAAGAAAGGGAGGGAGATATTAAGAAAAAAGAAAGAAAGGATGGGGAGATATTCAGACAAAAGAAAGGGAGAGATATTAAGAAAGAAAGAAAGAAAGGATGGGGAGATATTCAGACAAAAGAAAGGGAGGAGATATTAAGAAAGAAAAGAAGGATGGGGAGATATTCAGACAAAAGAAAGGGAGGGAGATATTAAGAAAAAAAAAGAAAGGATGGGGAGATATTCAGACAAAAGAAAGGGAGGGAGATATTAAGAAAGAAAAAAAAAGAAAGGATGGGGAGATATTCAGACAAAAAGAAAGGGAGGGAGATATTAAGAAAGAAAGAAAGGATGGGGAGATATTCAGACAAAAGAAAGGGAGGAGATATTAAGAAAGAAAAGGGAGAGATATTCAGACAAAAGAAAGGGAGGAGATATTAAGAAAGAAAGAAAAGGATGGGGAGATATTCAGACAAAAAAAAAAGGGAGGAGATATTAAGAAAGAAAGAAAGGATGGGGAGATATTCAGACAAAAGAAAGGGAGGGAGATATTAAGAAAAAAAAAGATGGGGAGATATTCAGACAAAAGAAAGGGGGGAGATATTAAAGAAAGAAAGAAAGGATGGGGAGATATTCAGACAAAAGAAAGGAGGGAGATATTAAGAAAGAAAGAAAGGATGGGGAGATATTCAGACAAAAAGAAAGGAGAGAGATATTAAGAAAGAAAGAAAGGATGGGGAGATATTCAGACAAAAGAAAGGGAGGGAGATATTAAGAAAAGAAATTCAGAAAAAGGATGGGGGAGATATTCAGACAAAAGAAAGGGAGAGATATTAAGAAAGAAAGAAAGAAAGGATGGGGAGATATTCAGACAAAAGAAAGGGAGGGAGATATTAAGAAAGAAAGAAAGGATGGGGAGATATTCAGACAAAAGAAAGGGAGGGAGATATTAAGAAAGAAAGAAAGGATGGGGAGATATTCAGACAAAAGAAAGGGAGGGAGATATTAAGAAAGAAAGAAAGGATGGGGAGATATTCAGACAAAAGAAAGGGAGGGAGATATTAAGAAAGAAAGAAAGGATGGGGAGATATTCAGACAAAAGAAAGGGAGGGAGATATTAAGAAAGAAAGAAAGGATGGGGAGATATTCAGACAAAAGAAAGGGAGGAGATATTAAGAAAAAAGAAAGGATGGGAGATATTCAGACAAAAGAAAGGGGGGAGGGAGATATTAAGAAAAAAGAAAAGAAAAAGGGGGAGATATTCAGACAAAAGAAAGGGAGGGAGATATTAAAGAAAGAAAGAAAGGATGGGGGGATATTCAGACAAAAGAAAGGGAGGGAGATATTAAGAAAGAAAAGAAAGGATGGGGAGATATTCAGACAAAAGAAAGGGAGGGAGATTATTAAGAAAGAAAGAAAGGATGGGGAGATATTCAGACAAAAGAAAGGGAGGGAGATATTAAGAAAGAAAGAAAAGGATGGGAGATATTCAGACAAAAGAAAGGGAGGAGATATTAAGAAAGAAAGAAAGGATGGGAGATATTCAGACAAAAGAAAGGGAGGGAGATATTAAGAAAGAAAGAAAGGATGGGGAGATATTCAGACAAAAGAAAGGGAGAGAGATATTAAGAAAGAAAGAAAGGATGGGGAGATATTCAGGCAAAAGAAAGGGAGGGAGATATTAAGAAAGAAAGAAAGAAAAGGATGGGAGATATTCAGACAAAAGAAAGGGAGGAGAATATTAAGAAAGAAAAGAAAGGATGGGGATATTCAGACAAAAGAAAGGGAGGGAGATATTAAGAAAGAAAGAAAGGATGGGGAGATATTCAGACAAAAGAAAGGGAGGGAGATATTAAGAAAGAAAGAAAGGATGGGGAGATATTCAGACAAAAGAAAGGGAGGGAGATATTAAGAAAGAAAGAAAGAAAGGATGGGGAGATATTCAGACAAAAGAAAGGGAGGGAGATATTAAGAAAGAAAGAAAGGATGGGGAGATATTCAGACAAAAGAAAGGGAGGGAGATATTAAGAAAGAAAGAAAGGATGGGGAGATATTCAGACAAAAGAAAGGGAGGAGATATTAAGAAAGAAAGAAAGAGGGAGATATTCAGACAAAAGAAAGGAGGGAGATATTCAGAAAGAAAGAAAGGATGGGAGATATTCAGACAAAAGGGAGGAGATATTAAGAAAGAAAAGAAAGGATGGGAGATATTCAGACAAAAGAAAGGGAGGGAGATATTAAGAAAAAAGAAAGAAAGGGGGAGATATTCAGACAAAAAAAGAAAGGGAGGGGAGATATTAAGAAAGAAAGAAAGGATGGGGAGATATTCAGACAAAAGAAAGGGAGGGAGATATTAAGAAAGAAAAGAAAAAAGGATGGGGAGATATTCAGACAAAAGAAAGGGAGGGAGATAAAGAAAGAAAGAAAGGATGGGGGAGATATTCAGACAAAAGAAAGGGAGGGAGATATTAAGAAAGAAAGAAAGGATGGGAGATATTCAGGCAAAAGAAAGGGAGGAGATATTAAGAAAGAAAGAAAGGGATGGGGAGATATTCAGACAAAAGAAAGGGAGGGAGATATTAAGAAAGAAAGAAAGGATGGGGAGATATTCAGACAAAAAGAAAGGGAGGGGAGATATTAAGAAAGAAAGAAAGGATGGGGAGATATTCAGACAAA